ACTTACAACTTCCTCTTTAAAATATTAATAAATTAAATGTATCTATAATACATAAATATATAAAACATATGTAAACAAACTAGCATGGTGAACATGTAATTAAATTTACCAGTACCCTGGTATCTGATATTCTAAAACAGATATCTCAACTTTTATCATTTCTTTTATTTTGATACAATGTATGATGACTTGAAATGAAGGATTCTTAGCAAGTGATTCTAACAAAGCAGCTTAAATAATCAAAATTCACTAATGCATCAATTTGTATTTTCACCTGAGTGTAAACCATATTACTATACTAAACTAAAGCAGTGTACTAAAACAGCTATTTCAGATAGACAGCAGAACAGACAACAGTAACTGATGTTATATGGGTGAGGGAACCTTAAACAGGTGTATGAGACACTGGAAACATCTAATGAGGATGTTTTGTGGAAGTGTAGGAGATCATAAAAAGTGATTCCTGGCCACTAAAATATAATTATTTCTCATGTTCACCCATAACACAAAGTCTAGCAATACAAACGGTTAAAACCCAAGCTACCAACCAATCTAGTCTTGTGTCAGGAATAATAAAATTTCTCCATAGAAATGGGAAAACAGGGTTATTTGCAACATCTGATTTCTATTTTTGGATTTCAAATATAATTGACCTGGAAACGAATTGGATGATTAACTATAATCAATATAGATTATCTGACATTTTATGTGGTAATATAATAACAAATCAATATAGATTATCTGACATTTTATGTGGTAATATAATAACAAATCAATATCCTATTTATACACTTCAGCTATTATGGAATGAAACAACAATCAGAAATCATTATTTACATTAGTTTCTCATAACTCCGTAATAGTATCAAGGATTGGAACAAAATCAAAACTGCTTCATCAATAATGAAAAGTGTTAAATAAGGAATAAATATTGTGATGTTTAGCATTCATGTAGAAAGAATTTGATAATATACAGGAACCTTAACGAACAATAAAGCTTGTTTAAAGTACAAGGTGTTTGCTTTCAGAGGGAATATCCTATGTTGGTTCCAAGATACTTCAGAAAATTGTGTACAATAAAAGTAATATCTAATGTGGATTTCACAATATAGAGCACATTATCTACAAAGCTAAATCTAATGCCATCATTGGGTAGTAACAAGGAGGAGAGATCTGATCTGATGTTCTAACTAAATGTCACATGTAACTACATGACCAGGGAATGTATCAAGTTTCTTCTCTACAGCACTATAATAATCTATGAAACACCACACTTTTATGAAGAACAATTCAACAAAAAATTATTGGTTCAGTGTTGTGAGTACCATGTTGTAAAAAGTTTTGAAAAACATCATTTATGAGGACTTTTAAAAATTCCTATTTTTTATAATTAACTTCTTCATAATATTTCAAATAAAAAAGTCCTCCATTAACATTAGAAAAAAATTATAAAATCTGTTCCATTTCATATAATACAAACTTTCATTGAGACTTCTTATATGAGATGTGACTCTATACTTGAAACAACACCGACTCCATTAGGAAATGAGCAGGTACAAAATGCTGCATCATCATGTCGTCTGATTAGACAACAAGACCAAAAGACCATAACAATAATTCATTGAGACAGGGATATGAAAACTATACATTACTGAGTGGACAACACAGTTATAACAAATTATCCCTAAAACAAGACAAAACAATGATGTCCCAACACTTGCATCTATGTATTGATACCAATATATACACACACTCTATAGCCAGTACAGGCTATGATACTTCCATCATCAAATGACATCAGTGATCTCAAGATAAAGTTTTTGCTGAAAGGAAGAGGTCTATGAAATCAGACCAGCTGATCATGGTGAAAACAAAACCCTGATGTGATGTTACTGTAAAAACACAAAAATACATACAACACACCTTAACATCATCATACTAGTAATTGCTTTTACAATGACATCAGAAAACTGGTATAAAACCAGACATCAGTACACTGGTATAAAACCCGACATCAGTATACTGGTCTATAACCTGACATCAGTATACTGGTCTATAACCTGACATCAGTATACTGGTCTATAACCTGACATCAGAATACTGGTCTATAACCTGACATCAGAATACTGGTCTATAACCTGACATCAGTATACTGGTCTATAACCTGACATCAGAATACTGGTCTATAACCTGACATCAGTATAATGGTCTATAACCTGACATCAGTATACTGGTCTATAACCTGACATCAGAATACTGGTCTATAACCAGACATCAGTATAATGGTCTATAGCCTGACATCAGTATACTGGTATAAAACCAGACATCAGTACACTGGTATAACACCAGACATCAGTACACTGGTATAACACCAGACATCAGTACCCTGGTTATAACACCAGACATCAGTACACTGGTATAAAACCAGACATCAGTACACTGGTCTATAACCTGACATCAGAATACTGGTCTATAACCTGACATCAGAATACTTGTCTATAACCAGACATCAGTATACTGGTCTACAACCAGACATCAGTATACTGGTCTATAACCTGACATCAGAATACTGGTCTACAACCAGACATCAGAATACTGGTCTAAAACCAGACATCAGTATAATGGTCTATAACCTGACATCAGTATACTGGTCTATAACCTGACATCAGAATACTGGTCTATAACCAGACATCAGTATACTGGTCTATAACCTGACATCAGAATACTGGTCTATAACCAGACATCAGTAAACTGGTCTATAACCAGACATCAGTATACTGGTCTATAACCTGACATCAGTAAACTGGTCTATAACCTGACATCAGTACACTGGTCTATAACCTGACATCAGAATACTGGTCTACAACCAGACATCAGTATAATGGTCTATAACCTGACATCAGAATACTGGTCTACAACCAGACATCAGTAAACTGGTCTATAACCTGACATCAGAATACTGGTCTACAACCAGACATCAGTAAACTGGTCTATAACCAGACATCAGTAAACTGGTCTATAACCTGACATCAGAATACTGGTCTACAACCAGACATCAGTAAACTGGACTATAACCTGACATCAGAATACTGGTCTATAACCAGACATCAGTACACTGGTATAAAACCAGACATCAGTACACTGGTCTATAACCTGACATCAGAATACTGGTCTATAACCTGACATCAGTATACTGGTCTATAACCTGACATCAGTATACTGGTCTATAACCTGACATCAGAATACTGGTCTATAACCAGACATCAGTATACTGGTCTATAACCTGACATCAGAATACTGGTCTATAACCAGACATCAGAATACTGGTCTATAACCTGACATCAGAATACTGTTCTATATACTGACATCAGTATACTGGTCTATATATTGACATCAGTATACTGGTCTATATATTGACATCAGTATACTGGTCTATGTACTGATACCAGCATAATTATCTTTACACCTACTTAGCGTAACAGCTGGTCTCTGCAGTGATATAGTGATGTATTGACATTTATCTGTATAATTGAAGCAAATAACAAATCTTAATACTAGTTGCAATATACACAGCACAGGTATGTGCAGCCATACATCAGTGTAAAGGAAAGCCATTTACTAGTCATCAAACATCTGTATAATGTCGGATACCAGTAATCTTACACCAAATCATTTACCTTACACACAATACCATCATGCGTCTGTATAACATCTTTTAACTGACAATACACTACTAGCCCCGAGTCAAAGTTGCACACTGTGCCTGGATATACCATCTAGGATGTCAGTTCAGCAGTAGGCGATCTGTACTGCAATGTCATGACTCATTGCCATGTTATCAGTACAGACTTGTAAGTTAAGTAATAGAAAGTCTTCACTATTGGTACAACTCTATAAGGCTGAGTATTGTCAGTAATTATCTACAAGTTCCCACCTTCAAAGAAACTTGATCAGGGTTTTTGTGTAAGGTGGGACACATTAGGTAATTTCTGTATACAACACTCTGCTATCATTACAGGGACCCAAATACAAAATTTGGCAATTATGAAGGACATTATAAAGACAATGAGACAAACAGGTAACAAAGGGCAACAACTCTATATAATGGGATACAAAAGGTTTAGTACATCACAATCCACCCCCACACGGGAGTAAACATACAATGGCAACATATGACAACAGTAAATGAGTCATGATCTGGATAAAGTGATACAAAATTTGACATATGAACAGCATGCATCCCGTTCAAATACTATGTAGCATTGTAAGTCTCAATACATAATTGTGGACTGGTTCAGTATCAGCTTGTCTGTACACCAGTACAGTATCAGTCTGTCTGTACACCGGTACAGTATCAGTCTGTCTGTACACTGGTACAGTGTCAGTCTGTCTGTACATTGGTACTGTATCAGTCTGTCTGTACACCGGTACAGTATCAGTCTGTCTGTACACCGGTACAGTATCAGTCTGTCTGTACACCAGTACAGTGTCAGTCTGTCTGTACACCGGTACAGTGTCAGTCTGTCTGTACACCAGTACAGTGTCAGTCTGTCTGTACACCAGTACAGTATCAGTCTGTATGTACACCAGTACAGTGTCAGTCTGTCTGTACACCAGTACAGTGTAAGTCTTCTGTACACCAGTACAGTATCAGTCTGCCTGTACACCAGTACAGTATCAGCTTAGTCTGTACACAGGTACAGTATCAGTATGTCTGTCTATACACCAGTACAGTATCAGTCTGTCTGTACACCAGGACAGTATCAGCTTAGTCTGTACACAGGTACAGTATCAGTCTGTCTGTCTATACACCAGTACAGTATCAGTCTGTCTGTACACCAGGACAGTATCAGCCTGTCTGTACACCAGGACAGTATCAGCCTATCTGTACACCAGCACAATATTATTCAGCCTATTTGAGTTGCATATTTGTAATGACAACCTTGTTTGCAAAGACCTGAAACATGTTTCTTCTATATTCTGTATTAGGTACATCCTCATTAATTGTCCTGGCTTACTTCATCTGCCTCTGGATATGTTGGAAGATCCACAATGACAACCTTACTCTGCGTTTTATAAGACGGGAATAATCCATCCTTTCCTGTCCTTCGGTTCATTCCTTTAGAAAATCCATCCCAGTGATTACCTGCTATACCAACAGAATCACCAGGCTCCATATCTATTTCTTTTGGCTGTTTTGAAATGTGTTTTTCTAAAACTTCCATATGGTGTCCATTCTGTCCACCAAAATAATATATGTCATCTAAGGATTTGAAATAGGAAGAGGCATCAGCATGCATTGTCTGCATCATCTCATAAGCAACACGGCATACCTGTGTATTAAAAGAAATAATAACATTACAGTAATGGTTATTCACAGTACTTGATACAGATTAAATATCACATTAACTCTCAAAAACAATTTCTATTTTATATTGGTATTTTGTATCTTATTAGCCTAATCCATTCAGACATAATTTGGACTGTAACAGTACAACAATTTATGCATTTTCTGTCATAGCATTTTTATGCCTTATCATGTGTGAATGTGTCATCTTTTTATGTATTCATCTGTTAACAAGAGATCCCAGAGGGATCTTGGCACCCATCATTGTTTGATCTTTATTTGTTCTTGGAAAGTAGGATCTTTTCTCTTCTCTTCTCTGTTTTTGCTCTTAATGATAAGACATTTGAACATTCCTTTGCAGAAATAGCAATGATAATCTTTACCTGACAAATTCAAAATGGTTGCCTGTAAGCCATTTTGTTTCCTCTGATCAATCCCAAAATCAAACGAGCACAAGCAGAGACCAAAGGAAACATACATATGAGATTTGAGAGAGATCCATCCCGTATTTCTAAAGAAATAGCAGCAACAAACTTACAAAGTGTAAAAAAAAAAAAAAAAATGGCCACCTGTAACGGCCATTTTGTTTTTCTGATCAGCCGTACAATCAAAACGGCACAACCAGGGACCAAGGGGAACCTACATATGAAATATGAGAAAGATCCATCCAGTACTTCTCAAGAAATAGCGATAACAAAAATTGTTTACAGATGGACAGACAGATGGATGACAGACAACGGATGTAGGGTGATTTGAATAGTCCACCATCTGATTATAAGTAGGCTGCTAAATAAAAGCAGAAATCTAACATTGCCTAAATCTGCATACTTACAGTATGTTTTTTGAAGTAATATCTAAAAATGTGGCTGAAAAATCTTCAAACTGCAATTATTCAAAGTAGAACTACAGCAAACTACTTATAGCCAGTCAATCCCTTCATCACCATTTCTGTTTATCACAGTCTCATTCCCAATTTGTACCTTTCATTTACTTCTTGATTCAAAGAGTTTGAATATTTACACTTGATGAATAAAATCAGCCTCAGTATTTGGATGATTAATGAGGATCTGTGGTATTACCTGAGAGGAGAAAGTACAGACAAGGTAGTCAGACAGAGACAGGAAATGTATATCCATGATGATGCCATGCAGAGAATGATCTGTGTATCGCTTGTTCAGTCCTGCCGACTTTGTAATTTCTAAATCACTTATAAACACATAGTGTGGGTATCTGTAAACATATGTACAAAGATAAGAAGACAAAATATCATCACTTGTGCAATATCTTTTTTATTTCACTTGATTTTTTTTTTTGCATTCAGTTAAAGTTGCATTCACTAGATCAGTGTTAGCTATTAAGGTATTGTGGTTATGAAATTGGAATTTTTATTTGCAGGTTTATGTATCTCAAAATACTGACTTATGATGGACTTTGAATGATGTCTAGTATGAATACGAGGCAGTGTTGTTCTGATAAAAATCAAATCAATTTTATCTCTGAATCTGACAGCATATCAATTATGATTTTCTATTATCAATCAAAGTCTGACCATATTAACAAAAGTTTTAAGTGTAAATATTTGCAGCTGATCAGAAAACAGGTTGATTGCACTTGGATTTTAAGTTAACCTTAAACAGTATTAAAGCACCTTTCCAAATTGCTAAGTATAGTGTAATTAAGACATAATGCCACATTTCACCACATTTCTTGATTACTTCAGTTTCAGATGATCAACCGTTTGGGAAAATATGATGAATGAAATGATTTCCAACACAAAAGATCCATCTACTTGCTATACATCAAAAATGTTAACTCTCTATTCACCTTGATTTGGCATCTGGCAGGACAGATGGATCATCTGAAGCAAGGAAGACTCTGCGGGTCTGGACAGATTCCCTCGCCTCCAACCTGTCATAGTATTCATCCACATAAAGCATGTATTCATCTATACTGTGGAATGCTGCTTCTGTACCCACTTTGTCTGTTCGCCGCACGTGGACCCTGCAGAATAGTTCATTTCCCACATATATTGTAGTCTTAACTCTCATTAGTGCTAAAAAAGAAATCTTACCAAAAGACAAAAAAAAATCAACACTTATTTATCCTAATACTTAAATCTTACAAATCCCTATAGAAGATATTATATAACTAAACTGATCTTACACAGCTAATGTATTAGGGAGACCAAGTCTTTTATCTTATTGCATGCTTTACCTTACATTTAAATAATGGAATCTGTTAGATGTGAGATTGAGGAGAACTAGTTGGGGAAAAAAGGCTCGAGATCTGCTGATCTCTCCCCAGCTGCCCTATCTTCTTCTGGACTAAGCCACAAGAAAATATCACACCAGGGTAAGAGTATTCTGTGTGCCTTGTCAAGGTCAAAATATCATCCAAGCTTTATTTATCCTACTAACGGACAAGATAATCCCAAGTTGTCTTACTCTTCGATTCAATAAAATAATCCTGAGTTCTAGTATGAATACTCTACTACTTGACAAGATCATTCTTAGTAAAATTGTCTTACCCTACAATGGGTTTAGTGAATCCAAGCTTTGTTTTGGCATTATCCAGATCTTTTTGTAGCCGAGGCTGAGGACGGGTCAGGTACTTGACAAACTGACCGATCCACCATACTGCTGGATCACCATGTAGACGCTGGAGTCTCTCTGATAAGTCCTTTGGGATGGCCAAGGGGAGGTAATTTGGCCTTGGGTGTAGACTATCAACGATGGGCATCTCAACGACTTGTGTGTCACGAATTATATCAGGATCTAGAATTCACACAAGTTAGTTTAAACATGTGATTTTCCCCAATAAAAGAAACTACAAATGTGTATGGATATATATAAATATCATATAACAGGCAAACAGCAGCACAAATCACAGCTTAATTTAAGTATCAACAATGTTTTACTTTCAAAACTCACAGTAATAAAGTACAAACCACAATCTATGGTGACCTCATTACAAAATAAGTTTTGTGTTGCACTTGTCTTAATCAACCGAAAACCATGACAAGAAATTGTTAGCTGTTATTTTTTTCAAGATCTAAATTCAGTATGTAACACTATGCCATTACAAGAGGATCCTGGAATGCTCATTCAAAATATAGCAAATGTGGGTGAGTATATCTGATATTGATATACAAACAAAGTGTCTCTTACAGTACATAATAAAGTTATATTTGAATATATAAAATTTCCATACTACCCAATTTTACAATAAAAAAGACCAATTGTCAAATTTAGAGATTATCTACAGCTTTCTAATATTTTTTCCTTTTACTTTCATTTATGTCAAGGGTATGTATGTTTACCTGCCCATGGCCTGGAGCTGCTACCCTTTTTGTCTCTGCATGTCTCACTTAGAGGCAAGAACACGGACTCCCAGCCACTGCTGGCATAACGCCAGCCTCTGGATTCCAGAACTAGGGTTCTCTGTGTGGCATAGGCTACCATCATACAGTAGGTTACATGGTGGAGCTGACATCCGTACCCACATCCTTTGCTCAAGTTACATACCAATTTTTTAGCTGTATCACAATTCTTTGGATTCTACAATCACAAGTTTTAGTATTATCATCAACAGATCTGGTCTTCAGACAGAGAGAAGGTTTGTAAACCCAATGTCTTGAAATCAGTTTAACAAAAAAATACAACTAGGTTATTTCTCACCTGAAGGTATTTAAACCTTCGTTGGACAAGCTGACCAAGTTCCTCTGATTCCTTTTTCATCAATTCACCAACATTATCAACATTCCTCAGTGAATGAAAGTCCTTATGTATCGTTCTGAAAAAAAAAGAATGAATAGAATCACAACTTAACATCTTCTTGAATTGTAACAAAAACAAATACATTTTTTCTAAATCTTACAGTTTTCATACACAGTATTTATATATATTACACTAGATATTAAACAATATTTAAAGTCAGTATGACCGTAAAATTTATTAAGTAAAAAGTTTGAAATATACAAGAAGCCAAATTACATCTGATACTTCCCATAATGACTATTGTGGCATTACGAAAACTTCAGATAATTACTCATAACAACTGTCAATTAATCTCTTCAATTAAAGTACACCTGGAAATTGGAATTGGGAATCTTTTTGCAACTCTTACAAGTTTTCACATTCATTGTTTAACATTCAAAGTGTTCACCAGTTTATCGACAGATACAAGGTACTTTTATATGGCTGTACACTCAGCTATTGATTATCATGACTAATCAACACCTTCTTAATCATTTCCTTTTCATGATATTACTAAGCTGTCTTTTCATCAATTCATCTAGTCATGAATGTTATTTTAGAATTATTTATGACAACAAGTTTTAAATTCTGATTTCTTGCTTCAGTGACAGCTATGAAAAGAACCTTAACAGGAAATGATTACCGATATCCAAACGTTCTACTATTTACACCATTATAAATTGAATGTTTCAAGCATAAATCAACACTAAGTCATTAACGATACAAACTTTTGATAATCAGCTCCATCTGTGAGGGCTTTGTCTACCAAATGTATTATGTCCCCTTTCGAACTGATCTTTAGCTTCTTCAGTTCAGAACGCATGTAGTACCAAAACTCTACTACATCATTTTCGATTTTACGTCTCCTTTGTTCGTGTTGAAGCGAAGGTCCAGGGGCTAGAAATTGAGAAGAAGTAAATTACAACTGATATTGCCGACATGAAATTGTCCTAATAGACTGTTCAATAAAACAACCTGTATCAGAATACTCTGAGTTAACAAAATTGAGCTAATCCAGCAGATTTCATTGGCGGTACTTAGCTGAAATCCTCCCATGAATTGGCATTGCACATCATACTAGAAAACTTCTCTGAAACTCTTTCAAGAAACTCAGAAAAAGCCTACACTTTTATATATCATCTATTCTGGTGTTCAATAGTTTCTATAATGACAAGGACTGAAGACAAACCAACACATCAGGTACTCTTCAGATTAAGTCAAATATAGGACAGTAGGCTTTTCCAGCAGGACCAGTGCTCCAAAGAGCAAGTCTAACCAAAGACTTATAAACAGTGTTATAGAGAGTGTGTGTAGATTTGAAACCTGAACTGTTATGGTAAACGAGATAAGAATAAAATGAAACGGTAAGCAGACTGCATAGAGCCTTTACAGAATACTTAATTTGCTTTTTGATTGCAAAGATGGGCCAAGATGTGATACTGCTTCAGATCCCAGAGATGAAAAATCTCAGAAAATCTTCAGTAATCTCCAAGATTTTTTTTATTTCTTTGCATTAAGAAAAGGTTTTAATCAATAACAAGCAACACAGTGTTGTGGTGATACATACCTTCACAAACTTTAGAACTGGCTACAGCGATAGGTTTTCTGAGCTCCACCTTTTTTCCTAAATCAGACTCAGAATTTTCTGTTTTAATCTGATTTCTGTAGAAAAAATAGAAATAAGCAACATCTAAATAAAACTTAACATTATAAACTCCTAATTCACAGAGATATATATGAACATATCCCACCAGTATACAAACATTAAATACAGGAATATAGGAATTCAATTACACCTTAAAAAAATGTTGAATTTCTCTGAAAACATCACCCAATAAGTCATAAACCACATACTAGGACTATTCATAATTCATTGTGAACACATTCGCATAATATTTGTCACATATACTCTACCTCAACAATATCTCATACAATGATAGACGTGTTGATTTAAATGATATAGTCACAAACACAGACCTCTAGATAATACTGATTTAAATAACAAAGTTAAAACACTGTAGATGATACAGATTTCAATGATATTGTCATAAACAACAACCTCTACATGATAGAGTTTTAATTGATATACTAGGTAGTCATTAACACAAATCTCTAGAAGATACAGTTTTAAATGATATAGTCGCAAACACAAACCTCAAGATGACACAGATTAATCATTTAAATGATGTTGTCATGAGCACAAACCTCTAGAAGATACAGTTTTAAATGATAAATATCACAAAGACAAACCTCAAGATGACAAAGATTTAAATGATGTAGTCACAAACATCAACCTCAAGATTACAAAAATTTAAATAATGTAGTCATGAACACAAACCTCTAGAAGATACAGATTTAATTGATATACTAGGTAGTCATAAACAAAAACCTCTAGAAGATCCAGATTTAAATGATATACTAGGTAGTCATGAACACAGACCCCAGATGATATACAGACTTACTTAATATCAGCCACTAAACCCCTGAATTCATCATTTTGTGCTTTAAGTTTATCTAGTTCCCGGAGTGCTCGCTTAAGTTGTCGTTCAATATCACTGGGGTTGCTGTCAGAGGACTGAAACAGGATGTTTGACATGTACACCATAATTCCCAGCCATATCAACAGCAGGCAGCCTATCACTTTCCACGTCTTCATTTCAAGGTCATAACTCCTTAAAAAGAAAAAAGAAAAAACTTCTGATTTTCAAGCTTTTAAACAAGCTTTAAATAAGTACTTTGATAAGTGTAGTAAATTATTTAAATACATTTACAACCTCTGACTGATATTTATTCCAAAGAAATACCTTACATGAAACTTCTATAATCTTAAACTAGAAAATGTCTGTAAGACATGAATGCCACCCCCTCCCCCCCCCATGTGAAATAATAGTAAAAGGTCCGAAAGAGATGATTTTGTTAATTTGTATGCAACTATGTACAACTTAAGTTTCATACTTAAATTGACAAGTTGATTTAACGTACATGAATTTGGAATTTTGTTCTTTGGAAAAAATGAGGGACTATATTAGTTCCTTATGCCTTAAAAGTACCAAATTATGTAGAAATAAGATGATGTTCCTCTTTTTTGAGTTATCTCCCCCTGGTGGCCATCTTCTTTTAGAATGCCGAGAAATTCAACACTGCATGAGGTCTTTCCATACTTGATATTTGTATGAAGTTTCATGAAAATTGCCTTCCGAATGAAGTTGTTAGGTGGTATATACTGATTTGGGACACGACGGGACGGGACAGGACGGTTAGTGAGGGCTTACAGAGATAAAGGGAAACCAACACATGAAATATGAAAATGATCCATTGAGCACATCCCAAGAAATACCAATAATAAACATGCAAAATCAAAATCCAAGATGGCTGCCTGTTGACCATTTTGAAATCTGAGAAAGATCCATCCAGTACTTCTCTAGTGGTGGCCAAAAACTCTGAAGGTCTGTGGGTCAGGAACTAGATACTATCTGTGGCCAATCCAAATCAGAGCCAAATATTAGAAATAGGTCTGCTTCGATATAGATCTTGTAAAGGTGAGGACAGGATACAACTGAAACTCTTGTCTACATACAGCCACTCAAGTGAAAGAGTTCTAAATCTAGACTCAGCTGCTTAAATCGTTCACCGAAGTTAAATATCTTTATCCACAATACTAAATAAGCAATAATGACATTTACATGACATTGCAGCAAAAATGTCTTTCAGACTGGAAATTCCTTCTCTTCACCTTTGGGTTCAAAATTTTTTAAACTTCGTTCAAAATCTGTCTTTCTCACCCTTGAAATATGTTAGGGATGCTATTTTCAGTTCATTTTTCTCAATGACTTTAGGAAATAGAAGTCATCTATATGCACATAAAAGAAATAGATATGCTATAATTATAATACCAGGTACAAATTCATACCTTACTGAAATATCCTTGTAATTATGTGGCAGTGTTGATTGGCAGTATTGATTAAATGTATACTTCAAAGCAATGCGACGCTAAGTGAGACTGAACTAGTTCTCGGTGTATATGATATGTTTAATTAACACTTTCAATGATAACTACTATTGATTCACTCATGAAAGCTAAGCTACACATTTGGAGACTGAATTAAAGCAAAATAGAAGCAATCCTACCATTCACCATGATACTGCTAAATAAGGAAACATGACATCAAAAAGCAATGCTGATCCATGGCCATCATTTAGTACTGGTATATTGATGATTTAACAGCGGCATGTAATACCATTAGGTTAAATCAAAGAATGATGACATATTGTCTCAAATGCATCCTTAATATGTAACAATGCTTAATCTCATGAAAAAAGGTGTCTTTCATAATATATATCTCAAATCATATAGCTGAGGTATTTGTGGGACAGAAAAATATTACTGCATACAAATTTTATTTTCAAAGTAAGTTACCTTGACCTTTCACCTCCAGACCAAAAAAGCAATTTCAAGCAAGCACTTTATGTAAATAGGCAACAGGTAAAATCCAAGAGCAATCTGTCCAACAGAAACTGACAGATAATGCAGAAACCATACATAAAGAAATGGTGATCTCATTGAGAAAATATTATGTCACAGTACAATCAGAATTAGAATTTGAAACAAGAGATCCCAGAGGGATCTTGGTACCCACTATCGTTTGATCTTTATTTGTTCTTTGAAAGTTGGATTTTCTCCCTTCTATTCTCTTCTCTGTTTTTCCTTTTAATGATAAGAAAATTGAACTATCCTTTCTTTTCACTTCTCTGTTTTTGCTTTCAATGATAACAAATTTGAACATTCCTTCGCAGAAATACAGATGATAATCATTAATCACCAAATCTAAGATGGCCACCTGTAAGCCATTTTGTCATTCTGGTCAGTCCCGAAATTTAATGGGCATAACTAGAGACAATAGAAAACCTACCTAAGAAATTTGAGAGAGATTCACTCATCATTTCTTTAAAAAGAGTGATAACAAAATTTACTAGGTGAAATCCATGATGTCTGCCTGTCAACCATTTTGTTTTTCTGTTCAGTCCCAAAATCAAATTAGCACAACTAAGGAACAAGGAAAACCTACCTAAGAAAAACTGATAACAAACTTTCAAAGTCAAAATCAAAGATGGCCACCTGTGGGCCATTTTGTTTTCTGATCAGCCCCAAAATCAAACCACCACTACTAGGAAACAAAGAAAACCTATATATAAAATAAGAGATCCATCCAATACTGCTCAAGGAAACAGCCATAACAAACTTCATTGAAAAAATCTGAGATGGCCATCTATCAGCCATTCTGTTTTTCTGACCTTTCCTAAAATCAAAAAGGCACAACTAGGGTCCAAGGGAATTCTACATATGAAATCTGAGAAATGCAGTACTTCTCAAGATATAGCAAAAACAATAATTGCTTACAGACAGATAGACCGTGGATGTAGGGTGATTTGAATAGTCATGTTAATGATGTTGATGTCCCAGTTCCGATTATTGAATCCAAAACTGATAAACGCTTTGTATCTCTCAGGTTAAACTATTTGGAAATAAAAGATGTTTTACAGATTTTAAAACTAGGGAAAGCCTCGGGAGGGGATGGGATTAGTCATCATGTGCTGAAGTACACTGCAAATTCTATCTGTAAACCACTTGAACTACTTTTTAACATGTCTCTTTTTTTAGGTGTGTATCCAAACAAATGGAAACTTGCAACTGTAATACCACTTTCCAAAAAGGGTGACCGTCATACGCCATGTAATTATAGACCAATATCCCTTCTATCTACAGTAGGTAAAGTTTTCGAGCGTGTAGTTTACAAACACTTGAATAATTATTTGTTTGACAATCGTTTGTTTTATCACTATCAGTCCGGCTTTATGCCTACTCATTCTCCTGTTTATCAACTTATTGAAATTTACCATAATATTTGTACTGCTTTAGAAGAAAAAAAAACACACTTGTATTATTTTTTGTGATATATCTAAAGCTTTCGATCGTGTTTGGCACAGGGGCCTGATAGCTAAATTGGAATCTTATGGAATTTCGGGATCATTGTTAAATTGGTTCACAAATTATCTTCACCAGCGTAAACAGAAAGTTTTAATTGGAAATTCTTATTCCGGTCTAAGTAATATCGACGCTGGTGTACCCCAGGGCTCAATACTCGGGCCGCTTCTCTTTTTGTTATATATCAATGATATTTCAGATGCTCTTGAGTCGGCCTCTAGGTTATTTGCAGACGATACATCATTATTTCATTCTGCTTTTTCATGTCACGAATTACAGACTGTTCTCAACAGGGACCTTGAATCTTTAAATCAGTGGGCTAAACGTTGGTTGGTTTCTTTTAACCCTCTAAAAAATTCAGTCAATACTGACGGGGATCTAGATTTATTTTTTGACAGAGAAATTTTAAGTTTTACAGAAGTTCACAGACACTTAGGAGTAAATTTTAATTCAAATGGAAGTGAGGGAGCCATGTTGAGGCAGTATATAGCTCGGTTATGAAAAAAATTAATGTTTTACGAAAACTGAAATACTTGTTAAAAAGAGATTCTCTGTTAAAAATATATAAATCCTTCATTCTACCTGTTTTTGAATATGCTTGTGAGGTATGGGATGGTTGCTCTGTTTTGGATTCTGAGAAATTAGAGAAAGCACAAAGAGAAGCGGTTCAAGTTATAGCAGGTTTACCTTTGTATGCTAGTAATGAATCACTATATTTTGAAACAGGATTGGAAACATTATCAGAGAGAAGGAAGACACGCAAGTTAAATGTATTATACAAAATGATAAATAATTTAACCCCTTCTTATTTATTGGCCCTTTTGCCAAACACAGTGGGTTACAACAATCAGTATAATTTACGGAACCAACATGATTATATCATTCCTTCTTTCAGACTCTCCCTAAGTAACTCCTCTTTTCTGCCATCAAGTTTACGTCTGTGGAATTCGCTAGACAATTCAATAAGAACATTACCATCTTTGAATGCTTTTAAATCTTCTTTATCTAATGACGCTAATTCTTGTCCTCCATCTTATTATAATTTTGGCGAATGTAAGCTAAATATATTACATACGAGACTCAAACATCAGTGCAGCTCTTTGAAAAGTGATTTGTTCCGTGTTAAGATTGTTGATAACCCATCGTGTGCTTGTGGACATTACTGTGAGGATGTTGGGCACTTTTTCCTAGAATGTAAGCTTTATGATAAGGTAAGAATATCATTTTTTCAAAGTATAAACATGTTGAACTTAGATCAAGTGAATTTACATCTATTTTTATTTGGAAATGAAAATCTGTCCCTAACCACCAATACAGAAGTATTCAGACACGTGCAAATTTTTATCAAATCCAGCAACAGATTTTAAGTAAAATGTACTAAATGTTAAATATATTATGTATGCTTTGTTGATGTTATCATGTAAATATTTATCATGTATTGTATTAGAGGAAAAGGCGGTCATAAGTTGAAATAACTTGTGCCTAATCCTCTGCTCAATTTTGGGGCAATAAATATGTTTAAATCAATCAAATAGCAAAAACAAAAATTGCTTACAGACAGATAGACCGTGGATGTAGGGTGATTGGAATAGTCCACCATCTGATGATGGATGGCTAATACAGTGTAGAAACCATTTTTTTCATAAAAGTAGTAGTGACCTTAATTTTTTAACTCTGGCCTGAAAACAA